AATATTTTGTAAACAGTGTAAAGTGTACAGCTGGCGAATGTGTTGTCTTTGTATCATTGTCTATTTCAATGCATCAGCCGTCACTCAGTGCTTATTCATAATTTATGCAAAGTGATGCAGGAAGGCAGTGATGTTCTGCAAGTGGATTTTACCTCAGTTCAACCGAGCATCCACCCCTCCTCCTCTTCCTCCTCCCTCCTCCCCCTCCTCTGCTCATCTCTGTCCCTTGTACCTCGCTTTCCCCTGATCTCTTCGCACTCGCCTCTTTTAATAAATTGTGTATGCCATTTCTCGCCCTAAAACTGCCTCGCGCTTTCCTCTGCATCCTTTATTTGTCGGTTCTGATCTTCACAGGTCTCTTTTTTCTTCCTCTCTTCTTGTCGTCCCTCCCTCCTCCCCCCCTAACTCCTTCTCCCTGTAGGTGAGGGACATGGCAGGCACCACCCTCAGTGGTTTACTGCAGTGCCAGTTCTTCCCCCTGGACTCCAGTCTGCAGACACAGCTCCAGACGCTGAGTCAGACTCTCCTCCCCAAGGCCAGAGGAGAGCTGGCCTCTACAGGTACACACACACACGCACATTTACGTGCACAATCACACAGTGAGGCAATCACAGTAATACTTGCCCTATTACCCTTTCTTATCCCATGGGAATTGTGAACCTTGAAATTCTAAAGCTCATTTTAACTCCATATTTGTGTGTGTGCGTGTGTGTGTGCAGACTTAGTGCGGCGCCATGCTGGAGTGCTCGGCCTCAGTGCGTGCATCCTGTCGAGCCCCTATGATGTCCCAGACTGGATGCCTCAGATACTGATGGACCTGAGCGACCACCTCAACGACCCACAGCCTATAGAGGTACACATATGCACGCGCAGGCATTCGCACACACATACGCACACTCACATACAAACATCTCGCTCAACACAGTGTGAGCAGAAAGAATACAATTTCATTGTCCAATTGAGGAGAAAATTGTGTCTTTGGCTTTACTTCAGGCATGAAGAAGACATACAATGTAATCCGTAGTGCAGAGTTTGAATAATACATTACAGTGGTGGGGAGCCAGTGATGATGATAATTTACTGCTTCTCCTGTTGCAAAGTGAAAGAGATGAGAAAGAAAATACAATGGAATACAGTTAAAGAATATATTTGCAGGTAGATGAATTACCCAAAAGCTCCGGCAAAGAGTAGTTGTACAATTGCTATATAAAAATGGTGGAAGTAGCAGATTTTGTTGCAGAATAATAAGGATATAATATCTTGGGTTCTTCAGTCAGACTAAAGACTTTGTAGTCAAAATCAGTTTTTGTCAGCCCACAGGCACCTCCTTCCTTCATTCCTTCATTCCTTCCTTCACATCTGATCCAGTCATTTTGTTTGAAGGCCGTAATGTAAAATAAATGCACTGGATGTTTAAGTCATGAATACATCCTTGGTTATGGTGATCATCAGTTTAATGCCCTCTTATTGTGTCCTTGCTGAACCATGCTAACTTTTCACTCCAAACTTGCTTCACTTTAAATAATTTCTAGCGTTGCTTATTTAAATTGTTGCATGTGGCATTTTAACATCAATAAATTACTATTACCTCATTAGTTTTTAATTAATGTAAACAAATGCTGACAGTATTGTCAGCTGCTGTTGGATTCTACACTGCACTTTACATCATGTGTCGCCAGATCAGCATGTGGCGTTGTTTCAGCACTCAGAACAGGAACTAGCCTCGCTCCAGTTCTGCTGCTGAACATGAGGGGGAGCTCTCGTTGCGAGAACTGATAGTGGCTGTTATCAAAGGCTGTTATCAGCTCTTAACTTTTTTTCGCCCTACAAAACAAATGAAGCGACACAAGGAACTATCAACAGCCTCCTTATTGCAGGAGTTTACTGCAGTGTTTCATGGAATTGTCCTCATTTTGAGAGACAAACACGCCACTTTAAAATGTACATTTTTATTCCAGTGATAGAATATTATAGTTCTCCATGGGCTAAAGAGCTCTGCTACATCTCCAAGGAGGACAATATGCTGTGTAGACATAGCAATACATTGTGTTGTGAGTAAGTTCTGAATAAATATGAATAGAAAATGTCCTGTCTAAATCCAAATTAAGTGCGTACATTTTATGTTATATATGTTACTATACAAAAGTATGGCCCTCCATCATGTGTTACATCTCGCTTATCTAGTCATCTGTGATCAATGACTAATGTTGCACAATGTAATGGCTTTAGAATAACATCATCTGGGTTTTCTGAAGATATCGCAGGCTGTCTATTTGTTTAGTGAATGGATCAACGTTTTCAGAATGAAGGTCTTTACACTAAAAAAAGGGAGAATTTGATGGGGTTATTATTATGCAGTGATTTCACCCCTGCAGTTTTAGGGTCAACGTCACAATGGCGTCAGTTTGTTAGCTGGAGGCAAAACACGACTCGCCACCACAGGGCTGTAGGCTATGTAGGAGTCTTAAAATGTCGTCTTTCTGTGTTATTGGGAGACAGAATAGAAGGAGTCATGGCTCAAAACTTATTCGAACACATACCAGCCGTCACTGCCCATCAACAAAAACAAAGACAACTATGGTTAAATGTGACCAAAGGACTGGACAGAGGTGATCATCAAAGATGCTCACGTGTGGCGCACACTTCATAACAGGTTAGGGAGAAAGTATTTCCCGTTGTAGGGATGAATAACGTTATGTGTATTAAGGGTTATCATGTCCACCCTGTCAGAAATTGGGGAGATATTGAATATTGGATTTACCCGTAACACTAACTTTTTAGCTAACGCTAGCTTTGATAGCAAAGTAAACTGGAAGAAACCGTTCAAGTGTTGGATGCTTTACACTAAAATGAGAGCCCTGTTGGTCGAAGAAATGGAGCATTATATTTCTATATGAATTAACAAACAGTTAAGTTAATCACACATTTGCTCCGCTTGGCGCTCTTGACTGCCCAGAGTGTGCTCTGCCACGCCGAGAGTGCGGTACATTCCAGCAACGCTCCAAATTTACGAACGGTCCAGTTTGTGCCAGAGTATGCTCCGACTCTCAGAATGAGTTTTTCTGAATGCCCCACTCATATCATCTTCCTCTATTGTCTAAAACAAGCCAACAGAACCTGCTAGCTAGCGCAAGCTAATGTCTGTGGAGAATCATTTTGCCTCCAGCTAAGCCCCGCCCACAAAAAAACATCATTCTGTTTACAAACAATAAAAGGGTCTATGGTTATGTTGTCAAACTTGAAAACATAAACCTTCTAAATGGGTCCTCTTGTATAACCTGTTGGAACGTTCGTTAATGCAGAATGACGAGGAAGCTAAAAAGAAGGAAGAGTCCATGCGTTTACATGGACATGAAACAGGAGTTGCCTGTTTCTGTGTTTGAGCATGTAAATACCATATCCTATTATAAAGAAACCCAAATATGCTAGCTGGTTTACTATAAACTGATTTCTCTGGGCTCATGTAAACACCATATCCCCGATATGACTGTAACCGGGTTAAGCCTCATAAATCGGTTATTCATGTCCATATACTGTAATCACACACATTACGTCAATGACAGAACTCGAACAGTTTGTTACTTTCATCCATAACAATGCAACAAATTTTGCTTAAATGGACATTAAGTTGGTCTTAAGTAACTGCAGCAGCAACTACAGTTGTCAAATAAATGTTGTGGTGTAAAAAGTACCGTCTGAAATGTGGCAAATTATCAATATCAATTTGTGGTGTCTTTGTAAGCCTATGCTAGCTTGGCATGGATGTACACGTGCCATGATTCATTCACAGTATTTTCTGTTTTCCCATGGTCTTAGTAATGATGTTCATGTTTGTTGTCCCAAGATGACAGTGAAGAAGACCCTGTCGGAGTTCAGGCGCACTCACCACGATAACTGGCAGGAGCACCGACAGTGCTTCACTGACGACCAGCTGCTCGTGCTCACAGACCTGCTGGTGTCACCCTGTTACTATGCCTAGACAGCCAGCTGCCTGTGCCAGGTCCTCTACAGACTCACTGACCAGAACCATAGTTATAGGAGAATAACTCCAACAGTGTTGGGATGCTCTGCAGGCTGATAAAATACTGTCTGATGTCACTGGCAGTGGCTGAGAGCCCTGCCTCTGGAACCTCACGTGCCAATGTTGGCCTTTGGTAAACCCGGCGGAAAAGCAGTTCTGGACAAAGTGGTTTCAAATATTTGACTTACTTGGTGTTTATTTTGTCTCGCCAAGCAGCTCAATAGCCCCAAAGGTGGCCACTTTACTTTAGAGATAATCAGTATATATATTCAACCTCTGAATTTCTGACATTTGTAATAAAACTCTATCTTTTCAGATTACTGTTCACTTGTCCTACTTTTCAATATTTTTATTAAATAATACATAAAAAGTTGGAACAGTCAAATAATTTATTAAATACAAGAAAAAACATGATATAAATATGTAAAATAAATATAAAAAATGACATAAATAGAACCACATATTTCTTGTAATCCAGCACTTAATGTTTCTAATACTGTATAATATATAGTACTTAATATTAATATAATTGATATTAATGTATATTCACTTATAAGCGCTACTATATAGGTAACAAAATGTCTAACATGCTGTAATATTCCTGTACAACCTGCTGTGTTGTGTTAAACAATAGCTCAACACTGAGAGTTTTCCCTGTTGAATAAACTCATCATTTGTAAAGAGCGCTGTATTTCATTTCAAAGTGGGAGAGTGAGTGTGGCGTGCTGTATGTCTGCCAGGGTTGACTGATCATGTAAAATACCTGCAGTTTATCTGCGTCCGTCCATATCACATAGATGCCCACGGCAGATTATGTTCCGCACAGAGGCAGAGATCAAACATAGATGAGATGTTTCTTTCTGCATGGATAGTTTTTAGTAATGTGCAGATGCTGCTACAAACCACAGCCATTAAACACTGGTAACTCTGTGTGTGTGTGTGTGTGTGTGTGTGTGTTTAAGAAAGACAGGATCACAGATAGAGCTGTCACCATTTTTATTCTGCATGCTGATTTTTTCTGATGCAGTGCTGTTGACTTTGATATGTTCACTGTGCTGAGACGTATGCTGGCAGAATGAGAAGAAGCGTGGCTGTTAAATACAACCTTGTGTGGCTGTACGCTGTGTGATAGTGTGATTACACTTGATAATGATGATACCTGCCCTGAAACTAGGTTATCATGTGACAGAGAGATCAAGGACATTTGCCAAAGCAGGACTACTTGGTTGAACTAATAACTTGGGAAGGAGCTTTTATTGTGAAGGGCTCAACAGTAAGGACTGAAACTAGCTGAGTAGGGGCAAGTAAAAATTGACTTTGGGTAAGTAGATTTCTAACCTACTTGTTCAATCTGGTAAATTAAAAAAAAAATGTGGACATGAGTCATGATGTTTTTAGAGACTGAAAAACAGCATCATAAATTGTCTGGCTCCTTTTAAAAGGAGCTGTACGCAACATTCAGAGCATATCTACGATTCAGATGCACACAGGTGGCTGAGCTGGGCAGTATCATCGCCATGCAACACCTGAGAGCTCCTGCAGACCCACAGTTATAGACATGCGCATGAGCAAGCAGGTAGCTAACAGCTTACGGTAAGAACTCACAGACTGTATGATAAAAATGGACGTCGTGACAGGTCCCAGAAAGTGAAGCCAAAACATCTTTATCGCCCCCTGGTGGCTGGCTGCAGTATGGACCATAAACCCCGCCCCCTCTATGTTAGTGGATGGGACACAGGAAAAACTATTAAGTCCAAAGTAAACATCAAAAAAAAAAAGAAAAAAAAATCCCAAAGGTGGTTTCTGTCATTGCACTGATGTGTGTTCAAGCTTGTTTTTAGTTAGTTATCTGATGGCACAAAAAAAGGAGGTTTGATATCATGATTTACAGCCATGTGTACCAATCAGTATGCTAGCGCTGCTCGCGACTGGTTAGACAGGTGTGTGGGCGGGAGCTTCGCACGAACTGCGCAGACTGTGGCTCCCAATTATGTCATCAGCGCAAGATGGCAGCATACATATCTGGGGTATTTTGGCTTCATTTTTGTACAGTAAGAGGAAATAGAGACATGTTGTCCATCTTTATATACAGTCTACGTATGTGCCAGCTCCATTTACTGTGCTAACAATGGCAACAGTGCTGACAGAGCTAACATTGTTAACCAGGAGGGAAACTACGTGTTGAAGCTATACCAATATTAGTGCTAATCGCTGTGTGAGTGCAGTGCAGAGTGGCTGCTATTAGCTGGCCAGTGGGACACACTCACAGGTACTCACATGCACTAGCATGTGCGTGTGGCTGGATCGGCCACCACGACAACCCACAGAGAAGCATGACTTCATACTTTGGTCAGGACGCCATTACTCCACTGTATTTTTACATATGAAATAGTTGTTTGCTGCTATATTAATGCTCAGGACTGTCGCGTTCAGAAACTTTAATATCTTAGTATCATATCATACTTTGCAAGCCACTCACAGCCCATTCAGAGTGGACCCGCCACACACTTTTAGACCGTGACTGACCAGTTGGGAACCACTGATCGAAATAATCTAAAATATCAGATCCAGAAGGTGGGGTAATCAAATTGTGGTTACATCAGTGTTGGTTACATCTTGGTGACTGCTTTTCTCACAAACTTTTAAGGGCTTTAAATGAACCGCAAAGGAACATAATGAAATAATACTGCTCTGGGTCCTACTGGAATTATTACATGGGCTCCATATTTTACCCAGCAGTGCACACATACATCAGATGTTGTCATGTTTAAAAATTCATTCAAACAGACTAAATGTATATGTAAATGTAAAGGCATCCACTCAGAATAAATTATTCATCCATAACATTATTTATTTGTACTGTTGTATGTTGTACGACTAAAATGACAAGTTTATCCGAAGCCTATTTTGTGATCACTCCACAGTGCCTTATGTAATTTACATTTTTATTTTAGAGCAGTTTTTAATACATATTATTTGCACTAACATGACATTTACTTGTGGTGTGTGACACTACAAACAGACTTTGTCAACATAATTTCTGTACCTGACAAATATCCTTAGTGGCTCCATGAACATCTTTAACCCTGAGATCATTTGACAAATCAAGCCTGGTATTTATTATTGATCAAGTCTAATTTGTTATCTAATCACAATCAACCTGTCTGAGTGTGTGAGTGTTTCTGCCTACTGTGCATTCTGGCTCTTACTAAAGTTTCTAGAGAAAACAGGTGCGTGTCTGAGTCCTCAGGCAGAATTGTTCTCACAGCATCAGCCAGCTGAAACAGATACTCTGTGTTCTGCCCGCTTGGACCGGTAGAGTTGATGATCTGGTTGGCTATATCCTCCAGAGGGGCAGGGCCGAGGTAGTTCGGATTGTCCTGAGAGCCGATGTAGAGCAGCGTCTGGTTGGGCGGGGGAGAGAGTGGTGGACGGGGGTGAAAGGTCACAGTGATGACCTGATAACCACCTTTTTCTCGGTAGTCGAGGTAGCTCTTCACTTCCTGCTCCCGGCCCGTCGGCAGCTTGTAGGCAACACCCCAAACACACCCCTGAAGATGAGCGAAACAAGAAAAACAGGTAGCTTGGCATCTGTAGCAAAGAATGCAGGGTTGAACTCTATACATAAAGGTGTGGAAGAAAAATTCCTTTATTATTTTTTACCTTCTACTAGTAGCAACTACAATTGCCGCCTCGCTGTTGTATGTATCTGTGAAAACATGGATGCTTCACACATCTCCCCCCAGCAGCACAGAATATCTACACAATCAGTACAATTTCTTTTTAAAGACTTTTTTTTGGCTTTTCTTAGATTGGATGGACCAAGCATGAAAGGGGGATGACATGCAGGAAAGGGTCATGAGCTGGAATCAAACCCATGGCCACTGCAGCAAAGACAGTGCCTTTGTAGATGGGGTGCCTGCTCCACCCACTAAGCTACTGGGTGAGCCCAGTCAGCATAGTTTCAAGGTGGGCACCCGAGATTAGTGTCACCAATTCAGTATCAGACCAAATGTCTCCCCTTCTGTTCCTGAGTTATGTTGTTTGATAATGGCCAGAGAAGTGTTTTTGCATCTTGATATCACAGTAGGGATGTGCCATATCTTTTTGTTCACGATAATACCGGTATATTTTTTAATATCATATGAAAAATTCATATCGTGATACTCGCAATATTTCGGCTTGTTGACATATTGACGTCATACTGTTACCCACAGCAACAACAAGCATGACTGAAAGCAAAATAATTAGTGACTCTGCAGTGGCTCCAAAAACAGGAGTAGTGTGGAATAAACCGTGGCATCCTGAATGTTTCGTGAACAGCCTGGACCTCAGATTCTTTTAGCGAGTTTTCGCTCGGAGGGAACTCATTCAGCGGCTCCTCTGGCAGCAGCACAGCGTCTCTACCTCTCCTCTTTTGCCGTGTGCACACGGTGTCGTCACGTGATTTTTTTCCTCCGGGGTTTTTTCGGACCTAATTGTATTGCGGAGTTTTGCACAGCGGCGACCGGATCTTTGCTCTCAAACCACAAAAAAATGTGATGGCACAACAGTCTCCTTCAGTACATTATTCTATGCTTTCTTTTGATTTTCACATTGGCTAGTCATCC